TTATATAGTTTTCTTGGGTTCAATATAATTTCCTTCAGTTCACGTACCCAAGCTAAAATTAAATCAATCTTCTATTTTGTACACTTACAATTACAACATAACAAATCACAATAAGAAACTGTAACGATCACCACGAGGTGGCGCGGGCCTGAGGCGTGCCCTCCCCCCTCTCTCCATCCTCGTCAGTGGCAACATACAGAGCAAGAAAAGAAAGAAGTAAAAGAAGGTCACTGCAGAGAAACAAGAGAGTGGCGATGACAGACGCCACGATAAAACAAACCTACTTCATCTATTTGGTAACTGAAATGAAAACAAAAATGGTGGCGCGGTTTGCGCAGTTCATTTGCCTGCTCTCGCAAACTGAATCACGGAGGAATACCGCAGCTGCGGCGCCACCACGTCCGACTCCATGGACTTCTGGATCATGCGCGCCCGCTTCTTGGCCGGCAGGTTCATCTCGTTGATCTGGTTCCGGGCGACGGCCAGGTCGATGGGGTCCGGCGAGCTGGCCGGGCTGGGCGAGCTCGACGGGCTGGACGGGCTCAGCGGCAACCGCATCATCTCCGTGGGCTCCTCCAGGTACTCTGGCGGCGTGGACCGGAACTCCGTGTACCTCGACAGGGTCTGGGGCACGAGGTGGACGTCAGGCTCCGACACGCACAGGCCAGAGTCGCGGTGCTCCGAGGACTCGGGGCTCATGTCCTCGTCAATCTCGAGGGTGAGCGACGAGCTGGAGGGCGTGGGCGACGCGTCCCTCGCGTCGCGCTCGGCCGCGGCCGCGGCGGCCGCCAGCAGCACGGGGTTGACGCCGCCGCTGTGGCTGGGCTGGTACGAGGCCGACGGCTTGTCCATGCCGGGGTACAGGTAGTAGCAGAGCTCGCGCATGTTGGGCTGCGGCTCGTCCTTCCACTGCTGCTGCGGCCGGTGCTGCTCCTCGTACTGCTGGTACTCGGCGTGCTGCTGCTGCATGCTGTACTGCGGCCCGGGGCTGGAGCTGGGCCGCGGGCTGGGCCCGGGGCTGGGGGTGGGCGACGGCTGCGCGTCCCCTTGCCGCAGCGCGAGCTCCACGTCCGAGTCGGCCTTGTTCTCCTTGTCGCTGGACGACGACGCGCACGACTCGGACACGTCCCCGTTCATGGCCGCCGGCGAGGGCTCGGCGTGCGACTTGATGTGCATCTCCATCGTCTTCTTGGAGGTGAAGGTGTGATTGCAGATGGTGCACTTGTAGACCTTCTCGCCGTAGTGCGCGACCTGGTGCAGCTTCAGCACGTGGTTGTAGCCGAACGACTTGCCGCAGATGTCGCACGAGTAGGGCTTCTCGCCTGTGTGCGTGCGGTTGTGCACCTTGAGCTGCTTGGAGCAGGTGAAGCCCTTGCCGCAGATCTTGCAGACGTAGGGCTTCTCGCCCGTGTGCGTGCGCATGTGGATGACGAGCTGGCCGCTCTGGATGAACGTCTTGCTGCAGATGTTGCACTTGTGCGGCCGCTCGCCCGTGTGGATGCGCATGTGGCGATGGAGTTTGCCGCTGTGCTCGAACGCACGCCCGCAGATTTCACATTTGTACGGGCGCTCCTTGGTGTGGATGCGCCGGTGCACGCTCAGGTTCTCCTTGACGGAGAAGGACTTGTTGCAGTACTCGCACTGGTAGGGCTTCTCGCCCGTGTGCGTGCGGTTGTGGCGGGTGAGGCGCGCCGGCACGGCGAACGTCTTCCCGCAGATGTTGCACTGGTACGGGTCCTCGCCTACCTTGCCGTGCGTCCGCATGTGGTTTTGGAACGCGGCCTTCTGGTTGAACGACTTGTTGCAGATGCTACACGAGTAGTTGGCGGGTGACGTCGACGAGTCGGCGGCCAGCTCGGGCTCCGACGTGGCCGTGGACGACACTCCGGGCATGGCGGCGGCGGCGGTCGCGGTGGGCGTCGCGACGGCGGCGGTGGGCGTCAGGGAGAAGACGGGGAGGTCCGGTGAGCAGACGACACGCCGCACGGAGGGGTCGTCGGAGCTGCCGGGGCCGGCGCTGCCCGCGCTGCCGGGGCCGGGCTCGGCCGCGGCGGAGGTCGGGCGGAGGGGGCTGAGGGTGCAGTCGGCGCCGACGGGCACCAGGTCGCGGGGGCGGCCGTCTAGACCAACAGCCAGGGCGCTCCCGGCCAGGTCAGAGTTGAAGTAGCCGACCATGTCAGACACGCGACTCCACAGGACGTCTGTAACATACAAACATCCAAAGTAAGCAAACACTCCATAACTTTTAACTGTTTTCACTTCGCTATTTTAACCCGCAATACTGGCCCCACGTATTAATCGATCAATGTTTTTCAAAACCAGAATTTACTCTGTGGTGTACGAATTTCTCTACACGGCCTACGAATTTACTCTATACGGGTGCCCTAAAGTCTACCCACCACTATGGCCGTCATTGGCCGCGGCTGCCCCGTCCCTCTACGCACAAGTCGCGGCGCCGCTACCCAGCCCTCCGCGAGTCTGCGGCACTAATTCGCACCTCGGTCGCCATCCCACTCGAGTATCGCACACCCCTCGGCTGGCTGGCGCGGGTGCCGCGCGGAGCACGCCACAGGCCCACAGGCGCGGAGGGAAGTCCGCGCGCAGCGCCCCCTACAATCCTCACCGTTGGGACCTCCGGGTCCAGCGGCGCCCGCTGGGGGCTGCGCGCCGCCGGCGGCGCCTCCGGGCGGCTTGTACGCCTTCCACAGGGTCTTAATCCACTCCTTTTGGGTGCGCTGCCAAATCTCGGCCATGGCGATGGTTAATCCAGTTTGCGGGTCACACGCACACACTGCACACTGTCACTGCACTCGCGGCCGGCGCTGGTGGCGCAGCTCCCCCATGGCACAGGGTGGTGGTGGTGGCGGACGCTCGACGTGCGTCCTCCCCGCGCGACAGTCCTCATTCAACTGAAGCGCGCCCGACTATTGTTGTGGTATTTGGCCGGCGCGCCTTCCCCTCCGCTCCCGCTCGCAGGCTGTCCGCGCTGCTCCTGCTCGCCCTGCTCTAGGCTCGTAGCGTAGAGTCCCGCACGTGTCCTGCTCCTCCGCTGCTGCTGCATTTTTTCGGGCACGTAAATAAACGGGGTGGTGGTGGTAGTGGTGGTGGGGGCAGAGCGCGGCCCTCTATCTCGCTCACTTCCCCTCTCTCTATCTCGCTCCCGCCCTCCAGAACCGGAGGGGAGGGCAGGGGCGACGCATGCGCGCTCGACCGTCGCGGGAGGGGAGGGGCCAGCCTCGCGCCCGTCGCGGCCTGGCCTGCGCTCCTCGCCGAGCAGCCCCGATGCCTCGATCCGAACGCTGTGAGCTTGGTGTGGTCTGAGCCCGTGCTGCATCCTCCCAGCTAGAGGCTCCCCTCCCCTCCGACGCCGCACCGCCCCTCTCTCCCTCCCCTCCCGCGCCGCTGGCCCCTCCCCTCCCCGCGGACTGTCCAGGACGGCACGTGTAGCCGAGCTAGCCAGGCCTAGGCCTAACACGCGGCGGCCTACCAGGGTATCTCTACTCTGCCAATCACTTCCTGATCGGGACTTATGAAAGGTCAGGTGAGACTTGACGAACACAGAGGTACGCGGGGTGGGCCGGACTGAGTCGCGGCGGCGGCGAACATCGTGGACCAAAAGAGTCGGCGATAACAACTAGACCGTCCACCACATCGCACAATGCAATGCACCCCGCGGCCCTGCCGTGGCTCGGCTGTGAGATCGAGGGAGGATTTACTTAGCTCTCGAGCGCATCAGCAAGCGCAGTGCGCAGATAAGGCGGGGAGGGCGAGCGAGTGCGAGAGAGAGCGGCGGCGGAGCGACAGAGAGCGCGGCAGCGGCGCGTGGAGCGGCTGAGGCGCGCGGTCTCTCCCCCGGACGAGGTCGCCGAGCGGGAGAAACCGCGCGCTTTGCCGCCACGTGGAGCGCCGAGCCGATCACCGACCTCCATCAAGGAGGAGTATAGTGGGGATGCCGAAATGACATCACCGGCGACCCCGCTGCGCCCCGCTCTCCCCCGCCCGCCTCCCCGCGCGCCCGCTCGCCTGCCCCGCTCACCACCCCGCACCCTTCTCCTCGGCGTCCCCTTGGCGCGCCTCTCGCCCGCACCCACGGCCCGAGCCGCAGGCCTCTCTCTCGCTCCCCCTCCCGCTCGGCTGCCCAAAACGCCATTGCCCTCTGAGTTCGCCCTTCTCTCTGCCCTACCCTGCCCGGTTCTGGCCCTTCGCACGGACTGCAAAGAAAAATGTCGCAGATTTCAGCCGCGGTGGCGGGGCTCTTTGGCGTCGGACTTTGCAGACAATCGAGCGGAGGGGGTGGGAAGGCGAGGTACCCGCCCTGGTGCGGCCCGCCCGCCTTGGCCACACAATCAATCCACTTTGACTTGCAGCGAGGCCTCCCTTTGCCCTTCAGGAGCCCTCCGCACTCACTCCGCGAGGGGAAGAGCTTGAAACAACCTCGAAGAGCGTCGAAAAAGAGACCTCTCCTCTGCTACCCGGGGCAGATGTCAGCCCGTTCCCCCCTTTATCTGGAGGGTACAAGAAGGGTTGCCGCGCAGGTCCCTGCCGCCGGGCCGTGCGCTGGCCCGCCTTCCAAAAGCAGTCGGTGCCTGTGTCGTTCACCCTGGCCGGTGTTCGGCCGTGCCCAAGCCCGCCAGGCCCACGGCCCGGGCCTACTGGCAACATGGCGGCCGGGTAGCATGGGGCCCAGGGGCGGGCCGGCTGGGGGC